CCGTCTTCGCCTGCTGAGGCGCCCATGACCTGAAGGCCCGGTCGATCATCCTCCTGCCTCCCTCCCTCGCTCGTTCCCATTCCCAACTCCCTCCCTCCCTCCCCCTCCCTCTTCATGCTCTTCCTCCTGCTCCTCTTCCTCCTCCTCCTCCTTTCACGAGCACCTCCACAGGGTTATCCCTACCCTCAAGGGCATTATCATTACACTGCATTTATCCTCCTCCTCCTCCTCCTTCTCCTCCTCTTTCTCTTCCTTCGTCCTCCTCCACCTGCTCCTCATCTCCCTCCTCCTCCTCCACCTGCTCCTCCACCTGCTCCTCATATCCCTCCTCCTCGTGGTCGGATTTCAAGCTCGGGGAGCCTCCTCCTCCTCCTCCTCCTCATCCTCCTCCTCTTCCTCATCCTCATCCTCATCCTCCTCCTCCTCCTCCTCCTCCTCATCATCATCATCATCATCATCACCATCAGCATCATCATCATCGTCATCATCATGATCAGCATCATCATCCGTATCATCATCATCGTCGCCTTCGTCGTCACCATCATTATCATCATCACCAACAACAACACCTCAACCGCCAATTGCGATCTCGAGATCTCGCCGCGGTTGCCGGTCGCATCGCCTGGCCCGATGACAACCTCGACAATCAGGGGGGCGATCGGCTAACCAGCCGACCCCGATTGACACACAACAGACCAGTCGGAAAGTCCCTGGAGCTGGTCGTAGCTTGGTATCGGATTTCCTTGATGTCCGTGTCGCAGAGTGCCCATATCAGAATATCAAACTGCACTGTGACAACACCGAGCGTCAATCCCCTATGCAGTCACATCAGTTGTGCGAACTGTTTCGACAACGAGGTACCTATTGCTGATCTCGCGGACAGAAACACGCTCAGCACCAATAGTATAGATCGTTTTGATATTCCGAAACAAACGCTACTGTTCTAGCTAGAAAAACTAAACTGTCGGAGGATAGCATATATCAAATATCTTGAACAGGGTCCCACCTGAAAATCAAAAGCCCAATCATGAGATTGCAGACAGATACTTTGCAAGGGTAGCGCATTCAATTTGAATGCATGTTGTTGTCCACATCCAAATCAACTGCATCTTCTAGCGACAACTGCTTCGTTTGGGGGTGTGCTTCAAGTTGCCTCGTTGCGTAATACACATGAAGAACTGCTACTGGTGTTTTGGAGTTGGACGCTGCCGTACTCATGGGCGATCCCCAGAACTGAGACAATGCAATGGCCATGAGAGGCCGTTGGTGAGCTGACAGTCCGCATGTTCGTGAAGGGCAGGATTGCACCTCTGATGTTCCGCCCAAGATAGAGGGACTCAGAATTCGTCAAGATCAGACGGTGAGTGAGACCCAAGATGGCGGGACCAAGATGGCAGCACCCAGAAAAGTCTCCCCGTGCACCTTCTGGAAGACCCTCTTGCATCCTGGAAACTCGTCCCTGCAGTGTTCCATTCCACGTGTACGTTCTTCAACGGTCCCCTGTCCAAGGTATGACCTCATGATATGTGCCACGCGGACCGCGGCATCTCTATATTCAAAACGACGAATTTGCCAAGCCCAACGACCACACGAGCGACGATCAAAAGCGAATCTCACGCGAGATGACATCGCGGCCTTACGCGGTGGCTTACGCGGGCCGCCAGCGCAGCACGCCACGTTGGAAGCGAAGGCGCTCACGCACGAGCTTACGCGGGCAGCTTACGCGCCAAGGTCGGCGCAGACGACCCCATCTGCTTGCGTCGCTCACATGGCGGGCTCCGGGAAACTCTGAACCCAAAAATGTCGTCATCTCTTGGTCTCTTACTTCCGCCGGCGTGTGCCGGCCTTCTTAACGGCTTCCGCCGGCGGAGGCGGCCTCGCTCTACTTCCGCGGCCTTCCGCCGCCCTTCCGCCGTCTTCCGCCGAGGAAGCGTGAGTGGCAACGATGGGGGGGACTGGCAGAGGGGGGAAACATCGACCTGGAATCGGCGATACATCGCCGATAGGTCGGCGATAGGCCCCCGATAACGGATCCGTCCGCACGTTGCGGGGTGGGGCTATCAAGCCCCCATCGGCGGTTAAGGGGGGATTGGAGCTCGATGCGTCCCCCCTGTGCCTAGCCCCCCCCCCTCGTTGCCCCTGAGACAGCAAACTCCGTCGATCCTCCACGGCGAGGCCCTCTGTGGAACGCCCCGCATGGCAGCCCCGCCGTGCAGCTACGCCAGCGGGCCACGCTCGGCGCCCCGCTGCCCGCTGCCCCGGCGCCGCCGCCCAGGGCCCGCCGCCCGCGGCGGCTCCGCGCGGCCAGCACCGGCCGCGGGAGCCGAGCGCGCGCGCCGCCGCCGGGGAGGTCGGCCGCCCCGGGCGGCGCGGCCGCGGGAAGATCACGACGGGATCCCAGACCTCCTCGTGCTGTGGGAAAAAAAACAACGACGGGAGGTTTCTCGCCATGTTCGGCCTCCGGGGGCCCTCACTGGGCCTCGGGACCGTCGGAGAACGACTCGGGACGAAGAATCGGTCCCAGGGAAGGGGTCCAGACCTCTGGGGGTCGACGTTGTCAAAAAATCGCGACGTCGGGGGTCTGGGTTGGACGCCCGCCGTGACGTCTCTGCATCATCGGCGGGGCGTGGCTCCGGAGGGCCCGGGGGAGCCTCGCACTTCTGTCGCTGGGGGTGGCCGCGCGGGGGACTTCCGCCGGAGCCTGCGAGCAAGCTTCTCTGGGCCACAGGTGCTGGACCAGTTCCGCTGCCTCCACCTCGCTGTCGCACGTCCCTCGCCACCTTGCCGCGGAGGTGGCCGATGAGGAGCCGTGGAGAAGAGTAGACCTGCCCGTGGGACAGCGACCCAAAACGCCGAAAAACCTCCCGCCCTGGTTGCTCCACGGCGCCAGCACGTCTGGGAAGCGCCCGCCCGCCCGCCCGCCGACCTCCGCGCGCTCGATCGTCGCCCGCGCCTCCCAGGGCAGCCCAGAGCCCACTGGGCGAGGCGGCGGCCCCGGGCCGCATGCGGCGCGAGGCCCGCGCGCCTCGAGCCTCGCACCGCGCGCTGCCCCGCGCGCTCGCCTCGAGGGTGATCTGTGAAGGAAGCGGGCCTGGGTCCTGGATCCCGAGGCTCCTCCTCCTCCACCTCCTCCTCCTCCTCCTCCTCCTCCTCGTCCTCCTCCCCCTCCTCGTCCTCCTCCTCCGCCTCCCGCCGGACCTCCCTCCCTCCCTCCCCTTCCCTCCCCTCCCCTCCCCGGAACCAGCTCCTTACCCTGGGTCGGTTTGGGGCGGTCCCGGGGCCAGGGTTGGCGGCGCGCACATAGGGTGAGGAGGGGGGAATCACCCCCTCTGCGCGTGGCCGGCGGGGCGGGCACCCGGGACCTTCAAGACCCGTCTCCACGGGGGCCCGGCCCCAAACATCCTTCGATACCGCTCTTCCGCTCCGCGGCCCAAAACCTCGCGACCCCTTCCTGAGAGGGGTGCGCCCCGCATCCGCTCACTCTGGCCCCCGAGCCCAAAAAATGCCACAGGAGGCCGACGTCGACGGCAAAGTGCCGATTGCCAAAAATCAGATCGTCGGAGATCCGGGCTTCCCTTCTGGCGGGATCCGCGATCGCCATGCCGCTGGACGCTGGGGCGGCGGCGGCCGGCCTGGCCGTCACCACGTCGGTCGGAATCTGACGAGGCGGTGGAGCAGCCAGGGCGGCGGCAGCGGCGGCAGCGGCCACAGCGGCCGCAGCGGCAGCGGCAGCGGCAGCGGCGGTGGCAGCGGCAGCGGCCGCGGCAGCGGGGGGCATGGCGCAGCCAAGGCGGCCCCGGGCGCCCCTCCCCCCGACCCGCGCCCAGCAGCGAAGCGCCCGCAGAAATTTGGACCGATGCAGAGGAGGAGGAGGAGGAGGAGGAGGAGGAGGAGGAGGAGGAGGAGGAGGAGCAGGAGCAGGAGCAGGAGGAGCGATACTCGCCCACCAGAACACGCTCCCCCACAACATCATACACTGAGTATGACAACCTGGAGTTGGGCTGTGCAAGACAATCCACACACTGAACATGGCACTGCACATCTGCGTGAATAGAACTGTCAGATTCGAACGGGCACACGGCGGACAACGGCAGCAACAGCGAGACAAAGCAGCAAGAGGGAGGACAGAAGAGCGAGACAGGAGGAGGGCGGCAAGCAGAAGCGCCAGAGGGAGAGGCAGAAAGCAACGCACCAGCAGAGGGGGAACGGAAGGCAAGAAGACCTATCCAGCCGAGCCCTCAGCAGCGACGGCGAGGGCGGACAGACTGCGCATCATCACACGCACATCCAAACATGGAGGCCCGAACTTCGTCGCCGATGATCGGGCCGTCACGCGCATCCGAAGTCGAAGCATCTGGTGCCAGCACCGTTCTGGAATCGCGGCATCCCCCACAGTGACCAGCACCTTCTCCTTATGAGTATGATTGTGTTTATGCTTCTTGTTATTCGTCGCGCAGGCGACATAGGACAACGGCCGAAGGTCTGCTCCACCATTGCTTCGGCTGGAGGCACCTGTGCTGGATTGAGTCCCTGGGGCTGCAGATGCACTTCCGCTGCCGGCTGAGGAGGAGGAGGAGGAGGAGAAGGAGGAGCAGCAGGAGGAGGAGGGAGAACGAAGAGGAGGAGGAGAAGGAGGAGGAGGAGGTGGAGTAAGAAACCCAATAGTTTGCCCAAAAAATAGGGCTTGGAGCATCTACGCAGCACGACGGGCAGAGGTAGGGGAAAAAAGGAGCGGAAAAAGACAATGGTGCCTCACCACAGCACAACGAACGGCAGCTGTACGAAGCAGTAGTCGCCGAGAGCCAAAAAAAACATGTCTTGAGAGGTATGGGGTACCACTGACTGATGGGTTCCACAGTGGGACAAGGAGGCGGGCGAAGAAGCGGTCCCGCGGCAGGAGCATGCGTGCCCGTGCTACGGGATACCTCGGCGGAGGAAAGCCGCCACGCGGCCCGCCTGCACGCCGAGCGTCGTCACGACGGGTACCGTCGGGATCGACTTCAGCCCGCACTCTCCTGGCGGGGCGGGCCGGGGGGCACGGGAAGTTCGGGGGCGGAGGGAGGAGGACCGAGGCTCGAGGATCGATGGTCGAGGTCTCTATGGGGGGGGGGGGGGGGGCTCGACGAGGCTCCTCCCCTCCGCGGCCAGCTTCGTCCCGACACTCGGGCCAGGAGGCGCCTCTGGGCACGTGCGGGGGGTCGGCCTCTGTGGAGGCCGACCCTCGGGCGCCCACCTGGCGCCGCTCCGCTTCTGCACGGGATCGATCGAAGCTCGAGGAGGTTCTGAGGTCGAGGCTCGAGACGGCCGAGGAGCATCGAAGCTCGAGGTTATTCGAGGTCAAGGTTCTCGAGGTCTCGGACCCTCGAAGATACATGACCAGTGCTTGGGGAGGTCGTGCGGGGGAGGCAGACGTCCCAAACACCACTGCAACAGCTTCCTTTCCTCCCCCCCCAGCGGGGCAACGGCAATGAAGAGAGACAGTATATGAAGCCCGAATTAAGTCACACGTGCTCCAAATCGGCGTCCAGGCAACTCCACGGGGCACACCAGCAGTAAAACTGGAAATTGACGCGACGGCTGGGAAGGCTTGGTATTCGCATGCGACACACAGATTCGTCTGGAAATTGGCTCGACCGGGATTCGCATGCCACATGTGTACCACAGCCCCCGCAGCTGCGGGTAATGGTGAGGGGGCGGGGTGTTGAAACTTCAGTGCCGTACCGTCTCTTCGTGGACTCCATGAGAGGTCGAGGCCCCTTCCAGCTCCAGGGCTCGACGAGAGCTTCTGATTGGCGGCGCTGGGGTTTTGGAGGGATGAGGGGGCAGAGAGGCAGGGGGAAGGGCGAGGGGAGACAGGTGTTTCCATCAGCACTGTGCCGTCTCCATTGCCCCCATGAGGAAAAGTCTGGGCCCCTTGCCTGACCCAGAGCTCGACACCATCATCATCATCATCATCATCATCATCATCATCATCATCATCAGCAGCAGCATCAGCATCAGCATCAGCATCATCATCATCATCATCATCCTCATCATCATCATCCTCATCATCATCATCATCATCATCATCATCATAATCATCACCACCACCACCACCACCTCATCACCACCACCACCACCACCACCACTGCCACCGCCACCAGCCCACCGTCATCATCATCATCATCATCATCATCAGCAGCAGCATCATCATCATCATCATCAGCATCATCATCATCATCATCATCGTCATCGTCATCATCAACATCATCACCACCACCACCACCATCATCATCATCATCATCATCATCATCATCATCATCATCATCATCGTCATCATCATCAGCAGCATCATTATCATCAGCATCGTCATCATCAGCAGCATCATCATCACCACCACCACCATCACCAGCACCACCACCATCATCATCATCATCATCATCATCATCAGCAGCAGCACCAGCATCGTCAGCATCATCATAACCAGCATGAGTATCATCATCATCCTCATCATCATCCTCCTCATCCTCATCATCATCATCATCATCATCATCATCGTCATCGTCAGCGTCTTTGTCATCGTCATCATCGTCATCGTCACCGTCATCGTCGTCATCATCATCGTCAGCATCAGCATCAGCATCATCATCGTTATCAGCATCACCACCACCACTATCATCATCAGCATCAGCATCATCAGCACCATCATCATCAGCATCAGCATCATCATCGTCATCATCGTCATCGTCGTCATCGTCGTCGTCATCATCGTCATCGTCATCATCATCGTCATCAGCATCGTCATCATCATCGTCAGCATCATCAGCATCGTCATCGTCATCGTCATCATCATCAGCATCGTCATCGTCATCGTCATCATCGTCGTCATCAGTATCAGCATCATCACCACCTCCACCACCACTATCATCATCAACATCACCATCAGCGTAATCATTATCACCGTCATCGTCATCGTCATCGTCATCATCATCGTCGCCATCGTCATCGTCATCGTCATCGTCGTCATCATCATTATCATCATCAGCATTATCATATCAACATCTGCATCGACAGCATCGTCATCATCATCATCTCCAGCATCAGCATAATCACAATCAGGATAAACATCAGCATCATCGAAAAACGGCAACAACAATCAGTGTACGACTGTTCGCTCTTATCTGCTCGCGTGCCATTGTACATGCAAATCCCAAACCCTCGATACCCGCCCTCTTCGTCTTCGATCGGACCCCCCTTGGTATATATTCTCCCTACCTGCCGCGTGTGGTTGGCGCAGCCGCTGAAAAAGGGAAGGAAGGGATGAGGGAAGAGATCAGGGGGAGGGAGAAGGATGGAGCGCGAGAGAGATTCGCAGAAGGGGGGGGGCAGGAGCAGAAGTACAAGCGGCAGAACCAAACGGGCGGGTCGGGCGGGCGGACCCTAACAGGCAGTCAGGGAGGGCAGGCCCAAACGGCCGGGTCGAGCGGGCGGGTCGCTTGAGCGTCATTCCAACATGAATCGCTAAGAAGTTTCGAGCGATAGCGCGATTCCCGAGGAAGCCGTGAGAAAATTCAAAGCGAGAGAGTGATTCATGAGTCTAGGGGCACGGTGCCGCGATAAATTGCAAGGAAATCCGACGCGAGATCGCGAATCCTACAGGAATTATGAGGAAGTCCCGCGAGAGAGCGGGATTTTGAAAAGGCGGCGACGGCGACGGCGGCAGCGACGGCGGCGGCGAGGACGGCGGCAGCGACGACGGCGGCGGCGGCGGCGGCGGCGACGACGACGACGACGACGACGGACGACGACGACGACGACGCTCCTTCTGCTTGGCGGGCCCGTGTGCAGCAACAGCCCAGTAAACGAAGCACTGGTCGGCAAGCAGCGATGGGAGCAGGCAGAACGGCAGCGTCGAGAAATACAAAAGAAAGCCCTCCATCTCCTCCCCCTCCTCCTCCTCCTCCTCCTCCTCCTCCTTCTCCTTCTCCTCCTCCTCATATCCTCCTCCTCCTCGTCCGACGACGACGACGACGACGACGGCGGCGGCGGCGGCGGCGGCGGTGGCGGCAACGCCGGCGCCCGTCTCCTGACCCCGACAGGCCGCGCACGAGACGGAAGAAGCCGTCCTCCCCCCAATCGGTCCCCCAGGAATTCTTCAGCTTCCAGTAAGGGTTCGGATCCTGCGAGGAAGGAAGAAGAGAGGAGGAGGACCAGCGCGATGGAAGCTGGTCCTGGGGGAAGGGGTCCTGAAAAGTTTTCACGACCTTCATGCCCCTGGGGCTCTCCACGGGTCCCAAGACCGTCAAGGAACGACTCGGGATGGAGAGCTGAGGGGCACCTGAGGATCCAGGACCTGTTTCCCTCAGGACCCGTTCCATTCATGGCGAAAGAACGAGGGGGAGAGGGAGAAGCAGGGGGAGGGGTGGGAGGAGGAGGAGGAAGGAGGAGGATTGAAGAGGATGAGGAGGCGGAGGAGGGGAAGGGGAGGCGGAGGAGGGGGGGAGGCGGAGGTAGAGGCGGAAGTGGAGGGGGAGGCGGAGGAGAAGAAGAGGTTCGTCGTCGTCGTCGTTGCCGCCATCGTCGTCGTCGTCGTGGTCGTGGTCGTCAGCGTCGGTCGTTGTCGTGGTCACCGTCGTAACCGTCGTGGAAGAGAAGAGGGATCGTGAGGCAGGGCAAGCGGAAGGAAGGGATGAGAAGGATCAGGCGGAGGAAGAAATAACCGATGAAACTAGAACAAGAGAGGGAGGCGGAGGAGGAAGAGAAAAGAGAGACGAGAAGCAGAAGTAGAAGAGAAGGAGGAGGAGAGGGAAGAGGAGCAGGAGTTGAAGAGGGATCAGAAGATAAGGACGAGCAGCAACGGAGTGAGGCTTCGTCTGGTCGCGATGCCTGGAAGCCGTAGCCCACCACCAAGACCGCGTGGTCTAGCGTGTCCGAGCACGGCGCCGTCAGCACCTGCAGGGATCGGCGTCGGGGATCGAAATCCTCCTCCGTATCCCCCCCCTTCTCCCTCCTCCCCCGTTCCTCCCTTTTCTCCCCCTCTTCTCCCCTTCGACCCCTCCCCCCTCCCCCTCCCGCTCCCACTCCCCCTCTGTGAAGCGAAGCTTCACACAGCGCACCTCTTTTCAAGCCAGCGTCCGTGGCCGAGTCCTCGTGGCCACCTGCTCCTGGCACCCTGGAAGCGCCACTCACACACTTGCACGCGCCAGCACTGCGAGAACCCACGAGGGAGATGGGGACTTGGCAAGGAATGTAGCTATTGGACTCGATTGGCAAGAATGGGGAAGGCGAGGGGGTGAGTCTTTGCCCCAGGACTCCTCGGGCCCCGCTGAAGGCCTGCATCCAAATTGCGATGGGCGGAGCGAATCAAACCAACATTGAGCAATCGACACCGGTCCTAAGATATCTTCGATCAAGTCCATTCAACTCCAGCAGACGTACCAAACAAGGACAGAAGATCATGTGACGGCCTCCAGGACAACGTCACGCCAGAGGTCTGGACGGAAATCCACACTCAACTTGCTCTGGGGCCTGGATCTCCAGACACGTCTGGCGCCTAGCCGACTCAAACATCTGATCGTACACCAGTCGCCACCTACGCCTGTTGCTGACGCCGAGGCGTGGTGGACCAGAACTGACGGAGCGACATGCTGTCCAAAAGTGCCCAGCCGCAAGATGAGACGCTGACCAAACCGTCCCAAACATGCAGTGTCCTGATTTCTGCAATCCGGGACCCCAAGAAGTCCCGACCCTTTTTCCTGGGACTGGCTTTTCTCATCCAGAGCTTTTTGTTGACAGTCCTGGGGCCCCATCAGGGCCCCCTAGAAACCGAAAACGGCGAAAAAACGTCCGTTCTGATTTTCACGACGCTCACTTTTCACAACGCAGCGACGCAATATCCGACCGAACCGAACCGACCCAACGCAGCCGCCTGCGAGGCCGGCAAATGCCCAAAATGGCGCGGCAGAGTGGCTCCGGATGTCTGGTTTCGTCGGCGTCGGGTGGCCGCTCGCGGCGGCCCTGGCACCCCCGGAACGCCCTCGCTTGCCATCGCTCGGGCGCCTCTTCACCGCAGATGTTTCGGTTCTGTGCGCCCGTGTTCTCGGAAGATGGCCCCACGGAGCTCCTCAGTGGCCACCGCCGAGAGAAAACGCACGCGCCCGAGCGAGGCCAACCCCGAAGACCCCGGAGGCCCCCAGGAGTCCTCCGAGGGGGCCGGCAGCGGTAGGTGGAGGCGGAGGCGGAGGCGGAGGCGGAGGCCGAGGCTGAGGCGGAGGCGGAGGCGGAGGAGGAGGAGGAGGAGGAGGAGGAGGAGGAGGAGGAGGAGGAGGAGGAGGAGGAGGAGGGGAGGCGGCAGCGGTGCAGCTGTGCTGGGGTCACCCACGCCCGGGCCCCCGGGAGCGCGGCCTGGCTCGCTGAAGCACGCTGTACACTGGGAACGGCGAGGCACAATGAAGAGACACATAACGGGTGTCAGCACGAGCGGCAGCAGCTCTTGGCAACGGAGGACGAGGAGGAGGAGGAGGAGGAGGAGGAGGAGGAGGAGGAGGAGGAGGGTGAGGAGGAGGAGGGGGAGGGGGAGGAGGAGAAGGAGGAGGAGGAGGAGGAGGAGGAGGAGGAGGAGGAGGAGGTGGAGGAGGAGGAAGAGGAGACGCAGGATCAGACGAGCGCAGCGGAGTCCAGAGATTCAGCCTCGCTACTGGCTGGAGAAACCGAAGCGACAACATTCGGTATCGCGCCGATCGGGCGAGGATGCGGCCGCGGCGACGGTATCGCGGCGAAGAGGGCCTCGGCATCGAGACGCAGAAGAAGCCGAAGCGACAACATTCGGTATCACGGCGAAGAAGGCCTCGGCATCGCGGCGCGGGGCGGGGGCCCGCTCGGGGCAGCCGCGGCCGCGGCGACGGGCAGGAGGAGGAGGAGGAGGAAGAAGGAGAGGAAGAAGAAGAAGAAGAAGAAGAAGAAGAAGAAGAAGAGGAGCAGCAATTCTTGTTCAGGAACGGCACCCCGCTCTTGTAGAAGCGTATCTCGTCCCCCGAGGCGCTGATCCCCACCGCGACGGGCCCGACGTTGACGAGCGCCTCCTTCAGCGCCTGCTCGCTGTCGGATTTCACGGCCTCCGCGGCGCGGCGGGCCACGCGCCCCCCACCCACCCCGAGGGGCTGCCTCCGCGGCCGGGGGCTCTCTGCCAGAGCCGCCAGCAGGCAGGACGACAACCAAAAAAAAAAGGAAAGGAGGAGGAGGAGGAGGAGGAGGAGGAGGAGGGAGGAGAAGAATGAGGAGGAGGAGGAGGAGGAGGAAGGGAAGGGGGAGGGGGAGGGGAAGGGGAAGAGGTCGCCGCCCCCCCACCGTGTATCCATATCTATAGGCCCCGTCCTGCGCACCCGTCCTCCCCAGGGGCAGCCTCCGCTGAGCGGTGGATCGTTCCTGGGGTGGGGGGGTGCGCGAGCTCCCGACCAACGTGCTCGGGCGCTCGGGCAGACCCGCGGCCGCCTGGAGAGGGAGGGGGAGGGGGAAGGCAGGAGGGGGAGGGAGGCGGAGGACGAGGGGAAGGAGAAGGGGGAGGGGGAGGGGGAGGGGGAGAAGGAGGAGGAGGAGGGCGAGGGGGAAAGGGAGGGGGGGAGGTGAAGGGGGGAAGTAGGAGGACTCTCAGTTGGACGATCAAAACAAGATGATGCCCCACGGGGATGCGATCGCCCCGCCGCGAGCGCCGCCATCCCGAATGGCCTGTCGACCACTAGGGGGGGGAAGGGCTGGAGGGTGGAAGACGGAGATGGAGGGGCAGGAGGTCATCATCATCATCATCATCATCATCATCATCATCATCATCATCATCATCATCATCATCATCATCATCATCATCATCATAAGCAGCAGCATCATCATCATTATCGGCATCAACATCAACCTCAACAACAACATCATCATCATCATAATGAGCATCAGCATCAGCATCATCATCAGCATCATCATCAACAGCAGCACCACCATCAGCAGCATCAGCATCATCATAAGCAGAATCAGCATCACCAGCATCACCATCAGCATCGTCAGCATCGTCATCATCATCACCATCATCGTCATCATCAGCATCATCAGCATCATCGTCGTTATCAGCATCATCAGCATCCTCATGCTTGGCATCATCAGCATCAGCATCGTCATCATCGTCATCATCATAGTCATCATCATCATCATCATCATCATCACCAGCGTCATCAACAGCATCATCATCATCATCAGCATCATCAACAGCAACACTAACCATCAGCATCATCACCACCACCACAATCATCATCAGCAGCATCACCATCATCGTCATCATCACCACCATCACCATCACAATCACCACCACCAGCATCATCATAATCATCAGCAGCATCAGCATCATCAGTATCATCATGACAAGTATCATCATCAGCATCATCATCATCACCAGCATCAGCATCATAATCATCATCACCAGCATCATCTAACACATGATCAAAACCATCACCAGCAGCAGCAGCATCATCATCATCATCTTCAACATCAGCACAACCGTCGTCGTCCTCGTTGTCGTCGTCGCCGTCATCGTCATCGTAATCATCAGAATCAGCATCATCAGAATCATCAGCATCATTACCATCAGCAACATCATCGTCATCAGCATCACCAGCACCAGCAGCAGCATCGTCGTCATATCGTCGTCATGGTCATCGTCGTCGTCATCGTCACCGTTCCTCATCATCTGCATTATCATCATCATCAGCATCATCATCATCATCGTCGTCATCATCATCAGTTTCATCAGCTTCATCAGCTTCATCATCTTCATCATCACCATCATCACCAGCATCATCATCAGTAGCATCGCCATCATCAGCATCAGCATCCTCATCGTCATCATCATCAGCATCGCCATCAGCGTCGGCGTCGTCGTCCTCGTCGTCGGCGGCATCGTCATCGTCATCATCATCCTCAGCATCTGCAGCATCAGCATCAGAATCCTCATCATCATCATCATCATCATCATCATCAGCGTCATCATCGTCATCAGCATCGACATCAGCAGCATCAACATCGTCATCGGCATCAACATCATCATCACAATAATCATTACCGTCACCATCACCACAATCATTTTTATCAGTATCATCACCATAAGCAGCAGCAGCAGCATAATCATCAGCAGCAGCAGGCGAATCATCATAAGCACCATAAGAGTGATGACCACCACCACGATCATCATCATCATCACCATCATCAAAAACACCATCAAACACATCATCAAAACCATCGCCAGTAGCAGCAGCATCATCATCAGCACCATCATCATCATCATCATCATCAGCATCATCATCATCATCATCATCATCAGCATCATCATCATCATAATCACACCCCTCTCTTCCTCCTCGTCCTCCTCTTCCCCCTCCTCCGTCTCATACTCCTGTTCATGTTCCTCCTCCAATTCCTCCTCCTCCTCCTCCTCTTCCCCCGCGTCCTCCTCCTCCTCCGCCTCCCTCCTCCTCCTCCTCCTCCTCCTCCTCATCCTCCTCCTGTTCCTGCTCATCCTCCTCCTTCGTCTACTCCTCCCCTTATTCTTAGTATTAGTATTACTATTGGAATTACTTATCAGTATTATCATTATTACGATTACCAGTATTATTCATATTATTATTCGTATAACTAGAATGACCATTGTTGTTAGTATTAACATTAGTAGTATTGGTAATAACATTATTATTAGTGTTAGCATTAGGACTACCATTCGTATCATTGCTACTAATATTCTTGTTATTATTATTGATGATAAAAAATATTAGCAGTATGATTGCTAGTGTCATTAATCTTCTGTCATACTTCTCCTCATCCTCGTCCTCCTCCTCCTCCTCCTTCTCCTCCTCCTCCTCCTGCTCCTCCTCCTCCTCCTCCCCCTCCCTCTCCTCCTCTCCTCCCGCCTCCTCTCCTCCTCCTCCCTGCCCTTCCTCTCTCCTCCACTCCTCCTCCCCTCCTCCTCTCCTCCCGCCTCAGCCATCATCATCATCATCAGCATCATCATCATCCATCATCATCAATCTCATCATCATCATCATCATCATCATCATCATCATCATCATCATCAGCAGCATCAGGCATCAGCATCAGCATCAGCATCAGCATCAGCATCATCATCATCATCATCATCATCATCATCATCATCATCATCATCATCATCATCATCATCATCATCATCATCATCATCATCATCATCACAGTCCTGCGGGGATGGGGGGCGTCACTGGACTCGGGCGGGGTTGTTGTTTGCTCATCAGGCCTCGCCCTCGGCGAGGCGCACCTGCAAGAGAGCATCCCGAGGCTGGAAAATCTCCGATCACCGAGAAGCCGTCCGAAAACCTCCCTCCGTCTCGTCTCCCTGACACCAGCTCCCACCGTTCCAACGTTTGACTCGGGCCACGGCCCACCTGCATTACAATCTTGTAAGGCGGGTCCGTTGGACCGAGGGTGCCTCCGCTCCGTTCCATCCCTTCTCTCCTCCTCGCCGCCCCCGCCTTGTAGCCCTGAATCGCCCCCTGCGGGATTGCCGTCATGCACGAGGACCTTCACGCGCCGAGGCCCGGGAAGGTCAGCCTACTGCCACTGCGCTCCTCCTCGTTCCTCCTCCTCCTACTCCTCCTCCTCCTCCTCCTCCTCCTCCTCCTGCTCCTGCTGCTCCTCCTCCTCCTCCTCCTCCTCCTTCTCCTCCTCC